CATAGACACCCAAGTTTCACCATGACACAAAATACAATACTTGTGCACCAAAAAGTTGATAATGGAAGAAAATGGTATAACATAGACATGAATATATGTATCACTTATCGTATAATATATGCATAGTTTATGAATTTTAATAAAATATACACATTAGTTTATGTATAGACCTGGAGAAAAAAATTGGGAATATATATATATATATATATATATATATATATTAAATCGGGATTTGATAGTTTTGATGTACCAAAACGAGCAAGACAACTTCTCGTGTCAAATCACCAACTTGCAACACATATGAGCTTGTGCTTATTAGCAGCAAATTTGAGTATCGCAGATTACATCCTGGTACGCCAAGAGTAAAAGGGCAAGGATTTCGGTGATTTTATTTGTACCTCACTTGTTAAGCTTGTATTGTTAAAGTTTAGTATTATGATAATATCAGTTTCTTTAGCATTCATATATTTCACTTGTGATATATATATAGAGAGAGAGACCTAATCAAATGAGAACTAATTAGTTTATTCAAGCTTATTAGTTGTGGGATAAACATAAACCCACATGTAGAGAGATGAGAATCAAATAGAAACAGCATATGGGTTTGACATGCTTCCGAAGATCCTCATAATGAGAAATGGGTGCAAATGGTTTCTCGACAGCGTGCTAAAAAAGAGTAAATCCCATGAGCAAGTAACTAAGAAGTTGTTCCTTTGATTTCTATTAAGTCATGTATGTATAAAGTTGTCTATGTGAATTAATTTGTTTATATAGATTGAAAAGATTTTTTTTTCATGGATGGATGAAAAGAACGAGTTTTTAATTAGGAGGAACGATTTTGGAAGAAAAAAAAACTTGACTTTTTACATAAAGTTCCCCTTAAAAGCTTACTGAATAAGTAATTTTTCTATATCATTAAACCACTTCCCAAAGTCCAAAATAAGTCATGTATAGCTAACCGAATAAGCTGACTCTCATTAAACTGCTAACAAACAGTACCTAAATCTAGCATTCACAAAAGTAATAATCACAATGGTGTTGATGAAGATCTTGATAAGAGAATAAGGAACATGGAAATTCAAAACACGAAGGATCAATCGTTCTATTGACTTTAACAAAAACAAATAAGAAATCAATGATGAAGTCAAAATTAAAGAGAATGTCATGGAAGTTCCTCATAAAGTTATAATATTACGGGGTGCGATAAGTTGGAGGGATTTATATAAAATATTGGTTCAGTGAATAAGAAAAAGAAAGCAAAATTAGGTCTATAATGGTTAACTTAATTGTCTTACGAAAAAGACAAGTTAGAGGGATCTATAATTTGGAGGCCATAAGTTTTTGTTTGGGGGATTTTTAATGGATGGAATAAGCATGTATAAGAAAAAACTTGACTTTATACATTAAGCTTACGATTAAGCCACTAGCAAACTATCATGTGTAGCTGGTTGAATAAGTCGTGAGTCCGATTAAAGTCATTAAGCTGCTAACAAACATGTGTAAGGTAGGAGTGTGAGAAAAGTTTTGAAGTTGTTGACCAACATAATGCAGAACTTGATACGAAATATTTGGAGCCTACTAATAGAATTATTGTTATGGAGATCATTAGAGATAGAAAGGTGGAAATTTTGTATTATGGCCAAAAGAGATGTATAGAGACAATTCTTTTCAGTTCAACTAGAATGGGTGAAACCTACTGATACTCCATTTGCAGCACACTTTAAAACAGACATCCATTTTAAGTCTTTCGGCTCAAGTCGACATTGCTTATATGGTATGAGTGCGTATTCTAACCCGCGGGATCTCTAATGTATGTCATGATACTAATACACGGGATATGGGTTTACACAGAGGATGTGCCATCAATCAGAAGGAACTTCCACAATCAAGGGTTGTGTTATTCACAACCAAAGTTGAGTACATGGCTGTAACCAATGACTTGAAAGAAGCAAATTGGTTACGGAGACTATTTCCCTTTCCGGATTTTCAACCGTGTTACTCAAATAATTTCCATATAGTAAATGTTACGTTTTATTTATAAACGATGCAATTTGGTTAAGAGGGCTATCTGGATGTCCTGCATATTTTTGTCTTCAAAAGCTGGTTACATGAAATCGTCAACAAGTTGTCTCAAACTTGCAAATGATGAACCCCCTTCTTCCACTGCCATTCGACTCTTCGTTTTCATTTCTGCCACCTTTGCACGAACCTTACTTCTGCCATCCATCACCTCCCTTATTCCCTTCTCGATATCTCCAGCTGACACCAAACTCTGATTCTTGTTATATTGGTTATAATCCAACGAGATCTCCACTAACCCAGTTCTTTAACAAATTGATGTGCATTCAACTGTTGCTCATTGTATATTGGCCATGTGGCAAACTGGCAATTGGAACTCCGTTCCAGAGACTCTCCAGTATGTTCCACCCACAATGGGAAATGAATCCCCCAACTGCAACGAGCCACCAACGCGGTCTGCGAGGGGCAAGGTGGTAACGCTGGAGGAACCCATCCGGTAGGATTTCATTGTAGTCTGTGTACTCCCCTGGGAACCCTTTTTGGTCTTCAGATGRAGGTCGGCGCAGGGACCATATGAACCTGTATCCAATTGCTATTTCTTTCACTTGATCCAGCTCAAACCACCCCCTGGATCCAAAGCATAGGAGCAAGACCGATGACTTTGGTTGACCATACAACCACTGCAGTAGCTCATTGTTTGGAGTTGGTTTTTCAGGTTTTAGCATTGGGCCCACCGTGTAAACAGGAGGTATTTCATCGTCATAGGAAAGAAGCGCATGAGGCTCTAACTCTAGAAACGTGTTTATGATTATACCCTTGACTTCTATATATTTCCGGGTGTAACGACCAAACCTTTTGGACCAAGAATTCTTGTCCAGAAACACATAGGGAAAGACAGCAGGAGGAACTGGTTTAGCATAGCTCGGGATGATTAATGGAGTCCCTGAGTTTGACAATTCAGATGTCTCCTGGCCTTGTTCATCTTGGAGGGTCAGAAAATAAAACATAATGCCAAGAACAGCTGCATTAGGGAAAATAATGTAGGAAGGGACACCAAATTCCTTGCCAACATCAATCATTGATGTACAAAACATGTCAATAACCAATGCAGAGAGTCTATTGAACCACGAAGCTATAAGTTCCCTCACGATGGGCTTATGACGCTCAATGACAACATCAGCCAGGATACCGGCATTTGAGCAATCTGGAAAAGAATCAAGATCCATAGGAGGGAATTGGATGAATTTGATTCGACTGTTGTCATCATTAGTTTCAGAAGAAGAAAAAAAGAAGTGTGTGTAATTGGTGCCATGGGATCATTAGGGAGGTGCATGACAAGTACGTTAATGGTGAGATGATGAAATCGAGTGGCCATGAGGTTGGCTAGCTGAACAAGCTGACCAACATGTCTCATAAGTGGAGATGGGATGAAAAATAGCTCTACTTTCTCCTTCTGCATAGCCAGTCATATGAATATATGATGATAATTTGAAGATTTGCATGTCTCATCTATGTCTATACTATTATTTGTATAAAAAATAACTTATAAATTTATGATAAATTAAATGTTTTGAGTTGTTCAAGTCGGGTTTTGTAATCAGCCATGTTGTTTTCAATCAAAGTGTTACAAGACAGGTAACTGTATTAGCTTTAGGAACTAGTCAAGTAGAAGTAATGGAAACGTGTGGTTTAGTTATCACCCCAAGTAGAACACTAGGTTTCTGTTAGCTCTGATTGAGACCTATCAATGTGGTACCCACCCGTACCACCTATGTATTAAATGAAGCTTAGGAAAGAGACGCTAGTAGTTGGCAACCACAACAGCCTAAAGTGTAATTTACTCGGATTTTATTTATACAAATTTACATATATAAACGTGTTATTAGTGAAAATATGTTATCAGTTGAAAGAAATTAAAGGCAAGTTTTATAAGAATAGATTCAAATTAGAAACGATTAAAATATAACTTTTATTGTGTGATTATAGTAAAGATCAATGGAAGAAAATGGTACAAAGTTTTTATTACATATACATGAATATACGAATCAATTCGTGTATAATGTATAAATAGTTCATCATGAATTTATATGAATATACACATTAGTTCATGTATAAACATGGGAAAAAAGTGGGGAAAAAAATTAGCTTGCGCCTCGGTTGCTTCTGATGTACCAAGAAAAGCAAGGCAGCTTCTTGAAGACGCTTACAACCTTGTGTTAAATCACGAACTTGTAGCACATATGAGGTCATGCTTACTAGCAGGCTAGCAGCCAATGTGAGTATCACAAATTACAACATCCTAGTACACCAAGTGTAAAAGGGCCAGATTTTGGTGATTTTATTTGTACCTCACTTGCTATGCTTGTAAATTGAAGTTTAGTACTATGATAATATCAGTTCTTCTGCTTCTGCATTTTACATTGGTTCTTGCATTCATATATTACACTTGTGATATATGTACTTTAAAGCTTATTAGTTGTGGGATAAACCCAGATGCAGAGGTATGAGAATCAAGTAGAAACAGCATATGGGTTTGACATGCTTCCAAAGATCCTTATGATGAGAAATGGGTGCAAATGGCTTCTCATGCAATGTGTGAAGAAAGGAGATAAATCCCTTGGGCAAATAACCAAGTCTAGCATCCACAAAAGAGATGATCACAATGATGTTGATGAAGATCAAGATAGGTGCAGAAGGAATATAAAAATTCAAAACCTTGCCAAGGATCAATCGTTCTAGTGAATTTAACAAACACAGAACAAGAAATCGATGATGAAGTCAAATTTGAAGAGAATGTCATGGAAGTTCCTCCGGGTTGAATAAACTTCTAATAGTATGAGGTGCGACAGGTCGGAGGGATTTATATAGAATATCTATCGATTGAATAAGAAAAAAGACAGCAAAATTAGGTCCCTAATTGTTATCTTCTTAGTTTCTGGTCTTTTAATTTAAGTAGTTGGCTATCTATCAAATACCACATATCTCCAAAGATTATATACAAATTTTTCATACAAATGTTACAGATATCCTGATTGCTTTCACGCCCTTACACAAATCGTACTACGCCTAAGTAATGAACCAAAAATAACAAGGCGTAAAAGAAAATTGACGATAAATTTACTTAAACCAATATCGTGATTCAAATGTAACCAAAAACAAACTTTGCCAAAATCCAATCTCAGAAATCAAAAGGTTGAATATGCAAATCCTCAATCAAATCTGAAATTAAGCTGTAACCAAAATTGAGCCCAAAAGCAGTACGATAATTGATAGAGAAATCGAGAACACTAACCATAAAAGACATAGAATGAGACTAAATCAATCAATGTTCTGCATGATGTCCTCGGCCGTGAACTTAGTCCCTTTATCCTTATCCGCCACAGCACGTCCCTTCGCCTTACGTTCAAGCAGCGACTTCCGGTCCTTATCGAGACGGAGCTTCGTGATCACACACTTGGACGGATTGATTCCGACATTGACAGTCGTTCCATTGACCTTCTCACGAGTGATGCGCTCGATGTGAATCACCCACTTACGACGGTACACCTGCACAACCTTTCCCTCACGACCTTTGTAGGTGCCTCGAACGATCTGGACCTCGTCATCCTTGCGGACAGGCATGGACCTGGCATTGTACTTGGAGCGAAGCTCGCCGGAGAGAGGTGCACTCATCAGGACGCGACGAACGCTCGACGGCGCGGAGAAGTGTGCCTTCCTGTTCTTCCGGCGGGAGCTACTAACATTAGGATTGTACTTCATCTCCGCTGCTCTGCGTGACTCCCTCTCTCTCTCTCTCTCTCTCTCTCTCTCTCTCCCGATCGATGAGTGAAACGACGGCAGTGAACCGAAAAACTGTTTAGGGTTTTTGCAGATTTATCATGGGGGGGCTGGAAAACACACACACAAATGGTATCCAAAAGAAATGGGCTGACTTGGATAAAGTCGTTTGGCCCATTTAATTTTCTTTTCTTTGATCTGGCCCAAGTTTTTTCAATAAGACAATGAGAGATTGTTCCTTTTCCTAATATCAATTTTGAATTGATGATAAATTTTTTTTGTTAAAAATAAAAACAATAAGGGGGTGTTTGGGATTGCTTATTTGAAACAACTTATGATTTTCTACAAAAAGCACTTATCAACTTATTATAAGTCAAAAAGGTTTAACTTCTTTAAAAACTTCTTATTGTCGGTTTGGCATCGGTATAAGTTGTTTATCCAACACTCAAAAGTGTTTATTACCGGTGTCACACTGGAATAAGTCAATAAGTTATTTTTATAAGTAATCTCAAACACCCCCTAAATTAAAAATGATAGGAGATTAAAGGGTTGTTTATCAAATGTTTATTGGGGTAAGTATTTATGAGGTGTTACTTATCTTATCTAATGAGTATTGTAAGGACCAAAAATTTTATCCGCTAAGTGACGAAGAATACTTTTACCCGGTTAAAACTTATCGAGTTAAAAACGCTTAACAACAATTCATTTTTATTACCGAGAATGTTACCCGATAAGGTAAGTAGGTGTATTGACTTTGTATATAAATGTTTGGTAAATGGCACATAAGAATCAAATAGGGCAAATTGCATGAAAAAGTAACGTACTTTAACTTGATTCCTATTTTGGGTAACGTACTTTCAAAACTTTCATTTTGGTACCTAAGATGTAAAGTTTTAAAYATTTAASTAMCCRGGTAACTGGTTGAAGTATTAACCGATTATCATGCTAATGTGGCTAGTGATGTGGTATCCAACTCAGTATTATTTGCTGACGTGGTCAGTGATGTGGATTTTTTTAAATCTAAAATTAGTCTTTTTTTAGTCTAAAATTAGTCTTCACCGGGTTACCCAGGTACTTAAATGTTTTAAAATTTTACATCTTAGGTATCAAAATAGAAGTTTTGAAAGTACGTTACCCAAAATAGGAATCAAGTTAAAGTACGTTACTTTTTCATGCAATTTGCTCTATCAATAGGTACCAAAATGAAAGTTTTGAAAGTACGTTACCCAAAATAGGAATCAAGTTAAAGTACGTTACTTTTTCATGCAATTTGCCCAATCAAATATATGAAAGAGTGAATTATGATTTTCGTCCCTATGGTTTGTTAATGAATTTCCATTTTCATTCATGTGGTTTAAAAATTTGTGATTTCCGTCCCTATGGTTTGCAATTTATTGTTATTCTCGTCTCTTGATTAAATTCCAACCTTTAAGTACAAGAGGTTAAAATAATAAATAATTGTAAACCACATAGACCAAAACAACAATAAATTCATAAATTGTAAATAATAAGAACGAAAATAACAATAAATTACAAACCACATAAATGAAAATTGCAATTTCTCGACATCATGAGTAAAAATAGCTATTTTAAACAAATCACAAGGACGAAAAAACGTAATTAACTATACATTAAAATTTATAAATCAACCCGCTATGCGAGCTGACTAATCCAGAGTGACCATCTGGTTTGCAGGCAGCCCGGAGTCACCGTATTTGAAACTCTGTGACCACAAGGGATTTTTATTCCTTCTTGGATTTGAACCTGAAACCTATAGGTACTTTTGATATTTGAAACTCAAGTTCAAACCAATCAGACACCTATCGTTAATGGTTATATTCCAATTTCAAACATAAGGATATGGAAATGTTGTTTTCAGTGAACTTACTGGATTAAACATACAAGTTAATAACACAAAATATTTGGTTAGACACATAGTACGGTTTTAATATTTGATACTAATTAGCAATTACCTACAAACTAACTTCTCTTCTCATCCATGAGATACCACTGAGATGAAGGTCGGAGATGGTTAAAACTCCATATACCATAAGGGAATTTATATTACGAAATTTAACGAGCATGAAGATTTAAAAAATAAACGACTTAAAAAATATCCTCTAATTGAGTTTGAGTTAATAGTTTAGCTCTCTAGCCTAATATTACTAAAGAAGATGGTTACAATCAACCATAAGGGCTGTGGGGTAGTGGTTGAGGTCTTGAGGAATGTGGTGGAATATCTGATCTGTCTAAAGTTCAATTCCAAGCGTATACAACAATTATGGCCAATAAATTTACCGTGATTGATTTGTTGCAGTCACAATTTTTCGGAATTATTTTATGCATAGTCTGTGACACTTTCAGAAAAAATGTTACAATCATTTATGAAATGGTTACAAAATTCGTAAACATTTTTTAGATGGTCATAACCATCCTGTAAATGGTCGTGAACATTTTGTAACTTTTATTTCGTAGCAAACTTTGGATGCCTTAAGTTTTGACTCTCGTAACTCCGTTTGAATAGATTTTTTTAAATTGCTTATTTTTACCAATATAAATGATAGTAAAATTTGTGAATGCGGAATTTCATAACCGTTTTATAAATGGTCGTAAAGATTTTATAACCACTTTTTAAGTAAAGCAATAACATTGAATTTTACCAACAAACATTTATCAAATAAGTGTTCAGGTAAACGGCCCCTTAAGCTTTACTTACATGTCATAGCTAAAAAAAACTTTTTTTTAATCAGCTCCCATTTCCCGGTGGTTCATATTCTACGCATTCGTTCCTAATTTTGTGACTAGTGGTCTATGGAAAGAAAAACCACAAAACACAACTTTTTATTATAGATTTTTTTTATAGAGGAAGTACCAAGTATTAATGGTGAGTGTCTATGCTATGGTTAAGGTTAGGAGTGTAAAAGATACAAGATAACTTGTAAGCTATTCGAGATCGATTCGGATAAAATTTGGTCAACATTTGATTTGAATAGGTTCAGCTCGAACTCGAGCTCGACTCAATATATCAACGAGTCAAAGCAAACTACCAAATATTTGACTCCAAAAGTCAGAGAAGGAGAAGGTCCTTGTAGAGGAACTTTTCCTCTTTCCATCAGGGAAAGACCATTTACTCCTAATGATGCTCAATTTATTGGACCGATCCGTGGACCAATCACATTTTACCATTTAGGGATGCTCTAAGGTCTAAAGTTTTGCTGGTAATCGTGTTATTTTTCTAATTTAAGGGGTTGTTTACCAAATATTTACCGGACAAACATTTATTGGATGTTACTTACTTTGTCATATGAATTTGGGAAGGTTGATAATCTTACATGGTAGAGGCGACACAGGGACCATGAGACAGCTAGACAAGAGTCTTACTCAGTGATTGAGTGATAAGTCTTTTACCTGGTAAGCGGTTACGGGTAAAAGGTGTGTACCAACAGTCAATTTTGATAGTCAAAAATGTTACCGACAAATTAAGTAAGGAGGCAGTGACTTTAGCTAGTAAATGCTTACCAGATAAGCATTTGATAAATGACCCCAAGTCATAGTATATTTCTATACAAGAATGCTGATATTTTTTTATATACATATAGTAAATCATACACATCAGTATCCTAATTTCTGCTATAATTTAAATAGAAACTTGTATGCTAAGTGAATTCTAACTTAGGGCCGCGCCGCTGCAATTACATCTCAAATGGAGTTGCGACCAAAGCTCGGCCTAATGAAGGATTTATAATCTCAAACAACTTACGAAAGAATAGTGTTGACAAAGATGAAGAAAGTAGTTGCTATGATAAAACGATTTAACTTGATTAAATATTGTTGTGACCAGACGAATGTGATTAAGGTGAGTTTTATTCTTTTAAATTGTTCCACTTGTTTGGTTTTTGGGATTAAAAATTGACAAATGATCTTTTGTAGATGTTTTTTATATGTAAAAAGGTGTAATGATACTTTGTGGTAAACATATTTAATTTATGGGGCAATTAATTGAAATAGTCATTTTTACCGTTTGGTTTCACTTTTTAGTCATTTATTTACAAGGTTTACCAAAATAGCCACATGTCCGTTTTTTTAATTTTTTTTGCATACTTGGGTGAAAAACGTAACTTTTTTTTTTTTTTCAGACAAGGTTAGAAAGTGTAAGAAAAAAGTTGTCTTTTAGCTTGTGGACCCAACTAAGGGACAACTTTTTGTACCCTTTCTAGCCTTATTTGCAAAAAAAAATTACAATTTTTACTCATGTTTGCAAAAAGATTTTAAAATTCCTAGGGCTATTTTAATAAACCTTGTAAGGAAGTGGCTAAGAAGTGAAATCAAATGGTAAAAATTACTATTTCAATTAATTTTCCCATTGTGGCATGAGTTTTGTGGACTTATGACTATTTTGGTAAACTTGGGGAGAAAATGGCTAGGAGGTGAAACCGAGCTTGAAAATAGTTATTTTAATAAGTTTCCCTAATTTTTTTGAAACCGATTTGATTTAATTTACATTGTCTTAATAAAAAGTTAGAAGTACAATTCTACAATTAGAGGAGACGATGGCACGATACTATAATAAGGGAATCTTGAAATTACAATCATGTAATAAAAAAGTCACGTCAGTAATAAATTGTACATGGACATTATATGTGGAAATGATATAACATGAATATCGAGTAACGTGTGTTATGTGCTCTTAGTTCAAATCAAAATGTTACCTATTGTTATAACAAATATATTTTTTTCAAAATATAATGCTATGTTTGGCACACTAGTAGATAAGCAACTGATGGCTAGTAAGCTAGCTGATAACCAAATCATTTTAACAAAAACTAGCTGGTAAAAATGTAAAATGACTAAAAAAGACAACTTTAAAAGTTAATCAATTATAATATTTTAAAATATAATTGAAACAAATATCTAACAACATAGTATATTAACTAATATAAATAAGATGACAAAATTTCTTTAAAAAATATAATATACTGACTAAAAGAATTTTAAATTAATTATTATATATTATAATATTTGAATTTATTAAAACAAAATTTAGAAAAAATCT